CTTGGGGCCTCATTAATTTGCTAAATTTCCTGAGCTTTGCTTAAACTTGAGATCATCCTGCCTCAGTCTCCCAGAGTGCTGACTTTACAGGATGTACTATGAGAACCAATTCAAAAAAAAAAAAAGAATAACGTCTCAGTTACGGCTTTTTTTTTTTCTTTTCAGTATCAGAGATAGAACTCAGGACCTCACAATTGCCAGGCAGGTACTTATGCCACTGAGCTATCTCCCCAGCTCTCAGTTATGTCTTCTTATTTATTTTTTAAAATAATTTTACTGAGAAACAAATATCAATGAGAGTTATGTGTTTTTAAATAGTTTTAGCAACGTATTAAAGTTTTGTTGAGTACAAGTCTTTCACATCTTTGATGTAACTGGTTTGCAGTATTAAGGACTGATTCCAGGGCCTGTGCACTGAGCTAGATCCCCAGTGTTTTTCTTGTTTTGTGGAGATAAAGTACTACTAAGTTGCTAAGTTGTCCAGGGCAGATCTCAAGTCATGATCTTCCTTCCTCAGCCTTCCAGAGTACAGGTTTACAGCCATGTACCATGAGAGTCGACTTGAAGTTTGCTTCTAAGTATTTCATTCTTTTGATGTTCTTATAAATGGATTTTTTCTTAACTTTCCTTTACATTGCGCATGGCTAGCACATAGAAGTATGACTGATTTTTGAATTTGATTTTGTTATTCTGCAAAGGCTGAATTTCCTTACCAACTACAATAGTTTTGTGGGCGCTTTAAGATTTACTGCCTGTAAGTTCTTGTCATTGGGAAATGAGGATAAGTTTCTTTATTATTTATTTATTTATTTATTTTTTGGTGGAACCGGGGATTGAACTCAGGCCCTTGCGCTTGCCAGTGAAACGCTTATTCCACTGAGCCGTCTCCCTGGCCCGAAGTTTATTTCTTTCTAATGTGGATGCCTTTTACTTGTTTTTCTTACCTTGTTCTGGCTAGGGTGTCTAATACTAGTGTAAGTAGAAGTGAATACAAAGATCTTTGTATTTTTCTGATCATACAAGAAAAACCTATAGTCTTTCACCAAGTCTGATATTAGCTGTGGATTTTTTTTTTTAATTTTATGTATTTGGTACAGGGTCTCACTATGCAACTCAGACTTGTAGTGATCCTCCTGTCTCAGCCTCCCCAGTGCTGTAATTACAGGCATGCACCACCATGCCTGGTATTTGTGGTCCTCTCAGTGCAACCAGGGCTGGACCAGCATGACATGCGGTACCAGGGGTCGAATTTCAGTCCTTGTGCTTGCCCAGGTAGGTGCTTAGACCTTTGGGCTATCTCCAGGGCCCTAGCTGTGCATTTTTTTATATATGGTCTTTTAGGGGTTTTTTTCTATTCCCAGTTGTGTTGTTTTGTTTTGCTTTCTTTGTTTGTTTGTCTTGTTTTCCAGTATTGGTGATTAAACCCAAAGAATGCTGTACCACTGAGCTAAATTCCAAGACCTTTTAATTTTAATTTTATTTTTTGGACAGAGTCTAAGGTGTCAACATTAGCCTTGACCCTACAATCTTCTTGCTTCAACCTCCATAGTTGTTGAGATTACAGGTATACATTATAGCACATAGCCTAGTTAGAGTGGTTTTTATTTTCAAGAAAATAAATTTTCAGGGCCTAGGGAGATGGCTCAGTAGAATAAGCGCTTGCCTGGCAAGTACAAGGACCTGAGTTCAATCCCCGCTTCTGCCAAAAATAAAATAAAATAAAATAAAATAAATTTTCTCAAATGCTTTTACTGAATCAGATCTATTCATATTTTCTACTTCACAACTCCTTTTGTTTCTAGGGATTTGTCCATTCTACCTAAATTAATCAATTGTTGGCATAAAATTATTTATAGTATTCTTAAAATCATTATTCTGAAGAACTGATAATATCCTATTTGTCTTCTAATTTTAGTAATTTGAATCTTCCTTTTTCTTAATCTAATTAAAAGTCACTTTTGTTCATCTTTTCTGAAGGATCAACTTCTGGTTTTATTGATTTTTCTCGATTGCTTTTCTATTCTCTATTTTATTTATCCTTACCATAAATTTATTTACTTCCTTCAACTAGCTTTCAATTTAGTTTATTCTTTTTCTATGTCCCTAACTCATATACTAGATTACTAACATTTTTTTTTGGTCTTTTTTGAGACAGGGTGTCCATATGCAGTTCAGGCTGGTCTTGAGCTCCCTTTGTAGCCCAGGCTGGTCTCAAAACCCCAACGAGCCTCCTGCCTCAGCCTCCTGAGTGCTGGAATCCAGTTGTGCACCACCACACCCAGTTTAGATTATTAAAGTGAGATCTTTTTTAAAATGTTAGCAGTTGCGGGGCCGGGGAGATGAGGGGGGAGGGGCAGGGAGATGGCTCAGTGGAATAAGTGCTTCCCTGGCAAGCGCAAGAGTCTGAGTTCAATCCCCCCCCAAAAAAAACCAAACCAAAACAAACAAACAAACAAAAAATGTTAGCAGTTACAGCTATGAGTATCTTACATAGAATTCTTCTAGCTTCAGGTAATTTTTTCTGAAAATTGTAATAAAAGTGCCTGCTTCATGGTATTGTTCTAAATATATTACATATTAACTAACCTTCAGGAAGAAGTCACAGGTAAAGAAAATGTTACCTGCTATGACTAGTCCTATCATTATTAGCTTTGAAGTCAGGCAGCCAGATTGACCTCTTCTCAGCCATTGGAAGTTAAGTAAGCCTTTTCAGCACTCTAAGCCCAGTCTGTCATCCATAATAGGAAATAAAGCCTGCTTCACGGAGAGGGCCCAGGAGAGCCCTAAACCACAGTTCATATCTAACCTGTGTGCAGGACAAAGAAAAGGAAGCTCTTGACTGCAGCGCAGCTGGGTCTCAGAGAGTTTGCACCAGGCTGATAGAGAGTTCTCAAGCCAAAGTCTCCCATCAGAGGAGAACTGTGTCCGGCAGAGTTGGGTCTGCTTACGCCCTGCTGACCACTGTGGGAAGCGAGGTCTCTGTGCTAAGGAGGTGGTGAATTCTGGGTGCACTCATCTGAGTGGCTGTCACGAAAGCCCCTCCCATAGGAGAGCTGAGAGGCACGTATTTCCACAGGAGAGCTGAGGGGCACACATCCACAGCCACCACAACCGCAATCCTGTGAAAAATATGGAGCCACAATACTATAGGCAGATACAAATATAAAAATAACAAGAATCCTTTCTCATACTTGTGGAGCATTCAAACAACTGCAGAAAGGCCAGGACGGAATTGCAGGAGAATAGATCACCAGTGAGGGGTAAACATTACAAAGTCTGCCGGTCACCTCACAGCAGTCTTTCCACAGAAATATACATCTGTTGAAGGAATGAATAGATACTATTTCACGTTAAGCGTTGTGTCTCAAGACTCCCCACTGTAAGATAGTTTCAGCCTCATGACTTTTTTCTTTCCACGACAGATTCAGAAGAAAGTTCTGGCCCTTCAATTGGGGCCATTGTCGGCATCGTGATTGGAGTTGTAGCTGGCGTGGCTCTGATAACCGTCCTGGTGTATTGCCTGGTTTTCAGGAAGATTGGAGGGTAGGATGTCCTTTCCACTTCTCCCATTTCCTCCAAGGCCATCTGCCATGCTTGGGAGAGGGAACGGACCTTATACCTCTGTCTTGGGGCTGGGTGTCCTCTTCACTTTCCTAAACTCCTGCTGCTCGGTGTTAACTCCAGCGGGTCTCCACGCTCCTGTCCTCATCCTACTGTCTCTGGGGCATGGTTGCTGTCATCCCCACGTAGCTCCGAGGAACAGATCCAGTTATGGCCCTCTATCCCCCCAGTCAGGAAGCCAAGGTCCAAGAAGGTGAACAAATGAGGAAATAAAAGGAACAGCAGATGAAAGTAAGTCATCTGCTCTGTTGGCCACAGTGGCAGGAGGAGGGAGGGACAGGAGAGGAAGGGAAATGAAGAGAAAGCAGAGACAACCCGACTCCCCTTGGGCAGTAAATAAACTAAGGGGGAAAAACAAACAAAATCTATGCAAAACAAAGTAGGAGAGGCACCAAGGTAAAGTAGGCAGGAAGAGTCAACAGAGACTAACTTGCACAGCTGGGGATGTAGCTCAGGGCAGAGTTTGTCCTGGGTTTGACCCCGGCACCAGGAGAAAACAAGCTATAAATGTGGACATGGCTCCAACAGGAAGGAGTACCCAGTAGAAGGGACTACGTCGGCTTGAAGAATGAGACTGTAAGAGGAAAGACAGTGCCAGCCGTGAAATGAGTAGACATCAAGGAGTGCTGAGAAATTGTCTGCTGACAGTGTCCTTCCTAACTCAGGGATCAGAGGTCCTGTGCTCGGGAATAGCAGTCACAGTGTCTGGTATCTATTTAGGGCAAGCGACCAGCATGACCTCACAGAGCACAAGCTCTCAGTCTCCAACCACAGTAAGTAAAGCCACTCACCCAGTCAGAACGGGTATGTCCAACGTGTGCCCTGCCCTAGCAGAGAACCCCACATTCACCTGCTACTCCTTCCACTCTGAATTTGGAGGGAGGGATGTCTACTTCGCAGCCCTAAGTTGACACAGGTCCTTAAGTCCTTCCTAGGCCAAGAGTCCCCAGAGACAAAGCCTGGAGGGAAGCTCATGCCACCTGAGCTAGGCAGGCACTAGGAGTCGTTTCTTCACCTTTACTCCTTCCCCTTTGCCTCTATGATGGATGTGGGCATTTTCCCTCGGTGAGACTTTCCTTGGCTCGTGGATGCTCTGGGTGTTCTGGACCCTCACTGCCCCTCCTTGCCATTGGAGCCTGTTGCTCAGAAACCCCTTTTGTGTGTGTGGGAGGGGATAAAGGCCTTGTGAACTGATAGAAGTTTTCAGGGGTGCATTGAGGCCTACTCCCTGCCCCTCCTCTGGTTCTAGTGCACTGATCTGGACCACAGACTCTGAGGAAAGCAGATCCCTTAAGTGATCATGGGGTTCCTGCCCTGTCCTCCCACCAACCCCCACCTGCTACTTTGTCCCCCAAATCATGAAGCCTTAAGTGAGCTCCGCATTTCCATGGAGTGCTAACTCTTCTTTTGCTTCCCCAGGTCTGGGCCCCTCTGACAACTCTCCTAACAAGGTAAGCACAGCCAGTTTCATTGGCTCATTTTTTCAAATGGAAATGTTCCCAGAGAGAACGGATTGTTCTTGAAGACACAGATGTGAGATCAAGTTTGGGCCTACGTTCCTCAATAGAGAAACAAGGAAGCATTGGCGAATCTCTTGCATGAGTCCATCTCACAGCGAGAAAGTGTACTTTGGAATAGTCCACATCGTGGCTATGTGTAAATCCTAGCTGTGATGACTAGTAGCTCTGTGGCCCTTAGGACATAACATAAGCTCTTTGTGCCTCAGTTTTTTTCAAAAGGAGGTTAATGCAATCGTGTGAGTTAACATGTAAAGCACTAACACAATGCCCCAAACAAGGAAGTTATGTTGCCCTCCTCCTTTATCTACCTTCAATCTGACCCTGCTCTTCCTGCCAAAAGATAACTTCCATTCTAATGGATCTGGGGCCCTGGTTCCTTTATTTTATAACAATTTTATAGAATTTTTTTCTCATCTCCATCTTTCAGTGGAATACACACATATACTGAAACATGATTACACCATAAGTATGCTTTTGCAGTATGTGAACTTTCACAAGCTGAATACCCCCATGAAAACAGCACCCATCAAGACACTATATGTCTTCCGCACCAACAAAACCTTTCCAGTCACCTTCCTACGTCATGTCTGCTATCCTGATAGCACACCCATCTTCTATCAGTCAGTGTTGTTTTGTGAGGTTCGCCTATGTTGTGTATGTCTGTGACGTGTTCATCTTCACTACTGTGTTATTGTATTCCATGGCCTCACACCATCACCACGATTTAGCTCTTGAAACACCTACTCACCACCATGGAAAGCAGAGAATAAGCCCTTTCCAGAGCTCAGTGTTTCAAAGAGGTGGCAGCACAGTGGTGTGGAACCCCACCAGCCACGGTGAGGCTCTGGCCTGTGAGAGTAATTTAATTGATGGGTGCTTGTCTTTTACAGGTGGATGAAATTGCATATTCTTCCCTGAATTTCAATACCCTACAACCAAAGCAATCAACTTCAGACTCCCCACCCCCTACAGTAACAGAAACAGTTTATTCAGAAGTAAAGAAGAACTAATGTTACCTGCCCTGTCACAATACTGCTGATGACTCCTCATCTCTGGCCCAGAGGAAAAGGAAAATATCTCCCATGTTCTGTTCTCTCTCCAACACCACCTTGGGCTGCAACACCTCCTCCGTCCAATGTCAGTAAATGAAAAGGTACCTGGGGAGTCTGCAGGAGAACCAGGCTCCTTGACACTGGAAGTAGGCAAAGCCAATTTTGGAAGAGAGCTGCCAGCTTCCCTGCCCTTCCCCCACTACCCAGCCTACTTGTGTTGTAAACTGATTTATTCAGAGCATACTCATTTATTCCCAGCCCAGACCTGTCCTATCAGAATGCTACTTGAATTTGCCATCGTTTTTGGGTAATTTCCTCTCCCCTTTAAGTGCAGGTGCCAGGAAAAAAAAAAAGAAAATAAAATCGATAATGGCTTCTTTCTCTCCAACCCTGATGTGAAGCCCAACATAACCAAGAAAACCAAATATGTAACCAACCAACAGTGCACTGGGAAATCCTACGCTTTTTGTTTGCTGTGTCGGGGTCTAAACATCTTGCTGCTTAGCTAAAATATCATTTAAGCCCTCTGGCAAGCCCATCTCCAGAGAATCCACTAGGAACAATTAGGAAAACAGTGGGCCAAGGGCCACAGGCAATGCCCAGTGGAAAATGCCGAAGCGCACTTACATCTTTAATATCTGCGAGGGCTTTATTCAAGGAAGTGCCTGGAGAAGAGACTGCAGCTCCTATGGGGGGCGGCTCAACTTTAAAGAAATGAAATCTGCTGGGAACTTGGGAAAACAACAGAGTTATCCTTCGTTCATTACTTAAAATTACTGTAAAGAACGCACAACTGGAGGCACATGGTTTTCTCCTCTTCTGAGACATTCCGCCACTTTAATTTTTGGACCTTCTTGCTTAATTTGTGTAACTTCTGCCCTCTGAAAAGGATTATTTTTACTTCACTGTGTAAGCTGACCTGACTGCCTTGCTACATAGGAAGCCTCTAAAAGCCCTCAGGCCCCCTGGCCAGGAGCCTCTCAAGGTTTTGTTGCTGTTGTTGTTAAAGGCAACAAATAAAAAATAAAAAACTTCCCTCATTCATTCCAGAAAGGGACCTGGCTCAGTTTCTGGCCCCCTCAGACCTGTCACCAGCTGCCCTTCTGTTCCACATCTCTGCCTGTGCGTTTCTACCTGTCTGCCCTAATGTCTCAGGAAACCTCAGCCTCTGCGTTTGATCCTTGAAAAGTGGGAGCGCCCTAAAGGGAACACTAGGCTCCTGCTGATGGCTTTGTTTACAACCCGGGAAGCTGCACTGGTGCTGATGCCCCTTGGGCATGTGGGCTGCAAGGGGGTGTGAGGTCAGGAGACGCCCCACCAGGGTTTCTATCAGCCTCTGAAACTTTAACTTTGCCTGCGGGGTCTGTGAGTCCCAGTGTGAGTTGGAATAAAAAAGGACAAGAGAAGGAAAAAGCAAATGTGCTTCTCCTGCAGCCTTATGTTATGCAGATGAGATGTCTTTGGGGCTCTAGAGGCAAGGACTTTATTTGATGTTCACTGATTGATCACGTGGTCCTCTAATGGGCCTCCTCTAAGAGAATCCACTGGGGGTTCTCCTACTCAGGTACCTCTCTTCCAGGGCTCTCCAGCCCTGACACAGATTGTATGTACTTTCTATCATCTATGCTATGCTGGGTTATTTAATTTTGCCTAGCTAAAGCTACTGTTGATTATTTGTAAAATTTGCTCTATATTTATAATAAAAATTATATTTCAGACCTCAACATGCTGCTTCGCATTTGTGCAGTGTTAATGTCTCCTTTACCGATAAAAGAAAAAGTTGCTCAATGAGGAATCAGAGTAAGCCTATTTGGAAATCTGTAGGTGTGGATCTGGAGATCAGAGAACTAGATAAATTCATTTGCACATACGCTCACAAAGAGTATAGCTGGGGGCAACCTACTGGAAGGAACTACTTATCTTTCCTCAAGAAGATGACGTGTTCTTAGCCTCTTCATTAGGGGAAAAAATGCTTCTCATGTAAGACTCTAGAGAACAGAGCTAGCAACATAGCTGTTTGCACAAGCACTTCCAGTGTCATATAAAAATCTCCTTTCCGTGTCTTCATTAACAATTCCTTTTCTTTTCCTGCCCTCTTAATTAACCTGAATAACTTTCCTTTATTCCACTAATTTTTTTTAAATTTTTGGTCTTTTTGAGACAGGGTGTCGCTATGAAGCTCAGGCTGGCCTTGAGTTTACTTTGTAGCCCAGGCTGGTCTCAAACTCTCAATGATCCTCCTGCCTCAGCCCCTCCAGTGCTAGGATAACAGGCTTGTACCACCACACCCAGCCTATTCCACTAATTACTTTTTTTTCTTCCACTAATTATTAACCTGTTATCTCATTTTCTTTTATTGCAAGCAACTGAAAGGTGTTGCTACCTTTTCCTTCCCTCATCCTCTATCTCTCCTTACCTAACACCCTGAAAGCAGGAAAAAAAAAAAAAATAGGTCTCCATCTCTTGACCAGATTCAGGGATACTTTCATGCCTTTATATCCTCTAAGTCCACAGATAACTTCTTTTTCGGGGCACTCCCCCTCCATCCTAAGTGTTCCTTCCTCAGGGCTGGCCCCCAGGCCCTGCACATCTCCCTCCACCCTGCCCTCTCCTCAGCTTCAACTTCCTCTCTGCAGTTGGCTCCTTCATCTACTTCCTACTATTTCCCAGGACCCCTGGCTCCCACACCCAAATATGGTCCAGATACTCATTTCAACTGGCTGCCCCCTGCTCGCTCACTCCTCTGAGGGACTTCCCCAGAGTTTCCCAGCTCTGGCTCTAGCGTTCTCAGATTCAGTACAGTCTACAACAAGCTGTGTTGATTCCAACATCTCTCAGCTTTGTCATTCTCTCCATTCCCACAAACCCCACTTCACCAGGCCTTCAAAAACTGTGAGAGGGTCTTGGCTTCTTT